TGCGACAGGCGGCCGACCCCGCGGCGACCACGGAGCTCTCGCGCGGCGCGGTGCGCCGCCGCATTGAGCGCGAGGTTGCCGACGTTGATGAGACGCGCCACGCTGTCATCGAGGAGCGGCGCAACATGCGAGTGCTGCGCCAGCAGGAGAAGCGGAAGCAGCTTCGCGAGCAGAAGAAGAAGAGGCGGATGACAGCAGACGAAGACGAGGGAGAAGACGAGGACGAGAGTAACAGCAACGACAACAACACGCGGACGGCGCGGCGCAAAGGAGGGAAGACGGCGGCAGCGACAGGGAAGACGAAGGTAAAGAAGGTGCCCCGCAACACCAAGCGGAAGAAGTACTACACCCTAACGAAGGAGGACCTCTACGGCGACGAATAACGTCAAGCACCACCACAAACACTTAGTCACAGCAGCATGTTCGCTTTCTCTGTTCTCGCGACTTAATTGTTGAGGTTATTGACGTGGGCACAACTAAATGTGCCACCTTTCACTCCTGTTAATGTTTTTTTTTTGTTTTGTGTTTCCGTCCGTTTAATGATATACGCACATATATATACCTATATTTCCCTCGTAGCCTCTGTGAGTGTCTTTGGTTGTTTTTTTTCTGCCGGCGAGCTGGGAGCGGGGACTGTTGCTTGCGTTTCTCTTCTCTCGACAATGTGACAGAGGTGTGGAAGGTAGGAGTAGAGAGGGAGTGTCTTTGTGTGTGAGTGCGTGGCTGTGGTTGCACACGACAAGGGGGAGGGGGAAGGAAGAAGGAAACATATCACAGTGTAGGTGAAGGAGAGGTTCTTGAGGGGCGGGTGACAGGAACAGCAGCAGCAGCAGTAGTAATAGTGGTCGTAGTGGCCGTGGACGAACAATTCAAACCAAGCAAAAAAAAAAAAGGGTGAAGGGATACGTGGTAAGCGAGGATGTCTGAGTCCAATTCTTTGTCGGATGTGGCGCTGCCGCTCGAAGCTCTTGGCGCCAGAGCACTTATCAGATACGCTTACAAAGTTTTGCATCAGGTTTCTGGTGATACAGACATACCCACAGACAACGGTCACGTCAACAACGCTGACACCAACGACAACAGCTGCAGCGACCCACTCTCCTGCATGGGCCTACCGCTGCCGGATGCTGAGCCCATCGACGCGCAGAGTGGGCGCCGCCTCGTCTACTTTCGGCGGCACGAGAAGCCCGCGCCGATTATCGGAGAGAGGCGCCCGCTCTTTCTGCACATCGTTTTCCACCCGCCAACACCGGCGAAGTCGCTGAGCGCGGCCGCCCTCAAATGCCTCAGCGCACATGGCACGCTGCTGGGGTACTCCGACGATGACACTGAACTGATTTGGCATGAACGGGGTGAACTTTTTGCCAGTCGCGTGCCTCTCTCCGCCATCGCGTCGGTGAAGTGCATGCGGGCGCTGCGCTGCTTCCACTGTGCGCATGTCGTACCACGACAGGAGGTCATTCAGCACCTCGCGATGCACCTGAAGGGCAGAGGATGCAGCGTGGGCACATTCACAGGCCACCATACGTGGGGCACCGCGTGCGGCGACACCGGCCTGCTTCAGCAGCTGCGCCGCGTGCGCGTCATCGGCAGCGGCGCGCAGGGAGAGGTGGTGCTCTGCGAAGCCGGCCCCGAGGAGGCGGGGCAGCAGTACGCACTCAAGAGCATGCGCTGTGAGAGCGAGGAGGTGGCGCGGGGCTTCTACCACCGTGCAGTGCACTGCATGTCGCTGCGGCACGCGCACCTCGTGGAGTACCTGACGGCGCGTCTGCTGCCGGACGGCAGAACAACGGAAATCGTCATGCCGTTCTACAGCGAGGGTGACCTCGCCGATGCCATCAGGCGATTCACAGGGAACCGCTTCGATGAGAGTTACATCTGCTCCATCGCCCTCCAAATAGCGTCTGCGCTGGGGTTCCTGCACGAACGCAACCCTCCCATCGTTCACGGCGACATCAAGGTAGAGAACGTTCTGTTCTTCAACAAGGGTCAACAGGTGGTGCTTACAGACCTCGACACTTGCACGGAGTTAAGCTACCACAAGAGCTCCGTCCACGTGGACCTTGGCACAACCGCGTGGATGGCCCCAGAGGCGTTGCACAAGCAAGAGATCATGCCCGCCTCTGACATGTGGGCGCTCGGCCTCGTCATGTACGTGCTGTCCATTCTTCCCGACTTCCCAATGATGATGAATCCAAACACCGGCGACAACGATCTCCTCAACGCTTGCGTGTGGGAAACGTACGAGAACAGTACAACAGCGACAACCTCACCAGAAACAGTAGAAGCAGTTGCGGTGAAAACAACAACACCAATAACAACAACACCGATAACAAAAACACCAATAACAACAACATCGGCTATGGGGGCCACAGATTTCGATCCTTTTAGTGATGCACTGCGGGCTGTCGGTGCATACGGGGGCAGTGAAACAGCTTCTGGTGATTACGAATTGAGTTATCAGAGGTTATCGAAAATGCGTCTGGCTGACTGTGTGAAGCTAAACGTATCTAAAAGAGGATATTCGACCGCATTCGCGCAACTGACGGCTGTCCTTCTTTCATATGACCCTGCAAGACGCCCCAACGCAGCAGTAGTAACCGAGAGGCTCACTGATATCATGACAACTCTGTTGGTGACTTAGGGGAGTGGTGCACACTGAAGCTCCTCAATGTGCCGCGATTTGCGTATTTAACAAACAGTATGAGAACCGAGTGGTGATTGGAAAGGGCGAGTGGGTGTGGCTTTCATGAGTATTGTGGTGTGTCGTTGCATTTAATGCACCGCTATATATATATATATATATATTCTTTTCTCTCGTGGCGATGCCTGCGTAATTGGCCTCACCCTTGCCCCGACAGAATGACCCGTCCACCCTTTTTCCTACCTCGTTCATTTCCCTGTAGCGTGGGATGACTTATTCATCATACGACGACGACGGCGGAGCCGTCCATTCGGCGCCTCAGCCAAATAAAGGCAACGGGTGGAGAAAAAGTAGAAGCGATAGCAGAGGCCGTCAGAACAGTCTCAAGACAAGGGGTGCAGCACACTCTGTGCCTGATGCTTCCTCGCTTGAAACACTGGAGCAACGATGGCTGCACGAACAAGAGGTCCTGCGCGAGCGTCAGCGTCGCGTGGAAGAGGAACTTAACGCAATAACACAGCGCTATGGTTGTCTGGTGGAGTGCGATAGCAGAGGCAGCGCCAGCGATCCCTGCTCCATTGTGTGTGAGCCGCCAGCGAATTACGGTGGCCCGGCCATGTGGCTAATCGTCCGCGAGCAGGAGGAACTTCGTCGTTCCCGTGAGGACCTCCTCCTCCACTGGCAGCAGCAGGTGCGCACGGCGAATTTCTGCTGTGAGCAGGTAGTGGCCGCTCAGGGTGGAGTGCCGAGTGCCGTTGTGAAGGAGACACACCCATGCGAGGGCGGTGCCGCACCACTGCTGGGTGGTGTCGAACGGCCTGAAGTGACGGCGGCAAACGTGCTGCGTAATATGCACTGGAAGACACAAAGCGCACTGACGAAGCTTGCGGCGGAAGAGGCCGCGCTTGCCAGCGCCCCGGAGGAGTGCCGGTACCTGCTCAGTCGTATAGACACAGATGCGGAGGGCGGACGGGAGGCACAGGTGACGGTGCTGTCGCCGCCACGTCATCGTAACTCTTTGCACTCTTTCAAGAGTCACACAACAACACACGTCGCACAGACGACACAGGAGACACAGACGGCTGCAGATAAGTGGGTGCCACTACGGCTCGGGCTGCAGCAGAAGTATCCTGCCGTGGCTTTAACGGAGCCGCCTGCTGGATACGGAACGGCGGTCGGCCCTATGTCAAGGGGTTTGGCGAAGAAAGCAACAGCAGCGGAAACAACAACAACAACAGTACTCCAAACACTGGTGTCTTCGCATCACGGGGCGGTGGAGCGGTACCACGACTTCGTTTCCAAGCACGGTGGTGCCACGCTCGGATGGAGTGAGCAAGACCATCAACGTTTCTTGCGCCTCGTGTTGCAGCTTCAGCGGGTGCAAGTGAAACCAAACGCCGTGGGCTGCGCCACATCGCATGCCTTCCCTCACGCTGAACTTCTCCACGTAGCAATCACGTGTTTCGCGGACGAAAAGACACTGCCCGAGATTGAAGAGCACGTGCGGCTTTTTCTACGCTATCAGGAGCTTCTCTATGAACGACGTGTGGCTGTCGAGGCGTATCAGCAGCAGCGCCAGGCGGATGAGGCGGAGGCCGCAGAGCTTGCCTTGTGGCACCACCGTCAGAAGGAGCAGCGCAACGCAGCTGAGCAGCAGAAGCAGGAACACAGCAGACAGAAGCGGCAGGTGGCCATTAAGGCGAAGGTCGCCGAGTGGAGGGCCACCAAAGAGGAAGAGGTGGCCGCCCTGGGACAGAAGCAGCGGCGGGAGGCAGAGCTCTCACACCTGTGGGAGGTGGAGCAGCGACGCTCGCAACGCCTGGAAGTGAAAACACGGGAGTTACAGAATTCCCTCAACGATGCCCCGTATGAAAACGGCGACGCTGCTGCTCCTGTTGTTCCAATCACAGTGATAAACAGAGCAAGCAACGCGCCGCTCGTCTCTCGTGATGAGGCCATTCTGCAGCAGCAACAGCTGCAAAGGCGTTGGCTGGAGAGCAAGCAGCGGGCCCTTCACCGCGCTTCGCAGATCGCGGCGAAGCAGGCAGAGACCGCCCGGCAGAGTAAGGCAGCCATCCTTGAGAGGCAGCATCAGTCTCTCTGCGCCTCACGTGGCGTGGAGACATCGTCTGCAACTCAGCCACCGAAAACACAGCGCTACCTTGACCCAACAGAAAGTAGCAGCGCACGTGTGTCCAGTGACGTAGGGGGCTGTGACAAGGTGAATGAGAAACGCAGCGGATGGCTCCATCATGCAACGGAATTGATTCCCACGCCTTCCGTACTCTGGCGATCACATAGGGGTGCCCCGTCATGGTGTGGGCGATCATACACCGTGTAGCGTCCTTAAGGGGCGCTGTTTGCTGCCGATTGCTCTTTGCCACTCCCCTGGTTATCCTGTTTTTCTCATGGTGTACTGGAGCGGTGTGGGCCTGATACATCTCTCTTTCCCCCCCCCCCC